CTAGGTCATGTCACCCACTGTTTCCTCTCCAGGACCCAGCTCCCCTCCAGAGCCCACAGCTCTTCCATAGTAGTGATTGTGCCAGTGAGCATTTTATAGATCTGAGGAGGACTGGGCAGGTCAGATACTGTTGGTGTGACACTGCACTCCAGCAAAGAAGCCCTGGAATCCCCCAGGTGAAGGAGAGTCAGGCCAGTAGAGACCATACCAGTCTTGTTCCCCACTGTATAGTGGGCATGTAGAAGCATATCACACATTTCTTGAATGACTAAAGTAAGGAATATGTTGACATGTTTATTATAAAGTAAACTTGAAAACTAAAAGGAAATGAAATTCAAAGGGGTTTATGTGATTCTCTTGACTGTACTGTAAGCTGCATTGATACCATGAGTAGTTTGGGAGTAGGGAGATTTGAGATTGGGTAGGAGGGCTTAGGGTTGGAAATCAGCTGATACAAAGGCTTAGAATTGACATGTGAGTTAGCTGGTCACCGATCAGGGAAGGCATTGGAACTGAGGTAAAGTGGGGGAGGATTAAGAACAATTAGGGTTAAGGAAATTGAGCTTGTCAGAAATGGGCATTAGGTAGAATTGGGTGTCAGGTGGAGGTGAATACTCGGTGATGTTGAGCATTGGGTGGTTGTGTTGGTAGTTGCCAAGGTCACTCCCAGGTTCTATGATTTAAAAGGAGGACTCAGAAATCCGTATGTAGTTGTTCTTATGGCTGTTTATTACAGCAGAAGGGCAGAAGGATACAAAGCAAAATCATCAAAGGGAAAAGGCACATGGGATAAAGTCTGGAAGAAACCAGATGCAAGTTTCCAAGAGTCCTTTCCCAGTGGAATCACACAGGATATCCTCAATTCCTTCGTAACAAGTTGTGAGAACATGTGTGAAACGTCTACTAGGGGAGGCCTATTAGAGACTCAGTGCCTAGAGTTTTTATTGGGGGCTTGTATGTAGGCATGATCTGCATAGCACGTACTAAAATTCCAGACTCACAGAAGAAAATCAAGTGTTCAGTAAAAACCACATCATTTAAATAAGCAGTTTAGGCACAGACACCCACTCTTAACTAGTTCTGAGAGTGGTAGGAACCTTACCGAAATTTAAGTTCCTGGACACCAGCTAAGGGCCAACCTTGCAAGCAGGCTTTTCTATAGAAAACAGTCTCAAGCCTGCTATGTTAGCACTTCTCTGTACCATCATACTCAGGTGGTGGTGGGCCTTGGACAGTTGTCAGCAGTGGAGGCAATGTAAGGAAAAATTAAGGAGAACAGATAAAGAGCAGGCAATAGAGGAGGCCTCAGTCCAGCCTGTGGCATAGTAGAGCTTCATCCTCGGCCTTAGGCACATCCTTGTAACCATCACCTTGCTCCATAGCAGCAAGCTCCTGCACTATGATTTAAGAGAATGGTATTAATACTATTTTGCAATAAAGGTGTTCCAAGGGTTCTAAGACCAAGGAAATTTTGGAAACAATATTTTAAAATGAAGTCTCTTTAGTGTGGTTTTCCCCAGATCATGTATATGCTAATAAGTGTTGTAATTATTCAAAAAATGAGTAACTGCAGCATTTCTGAAATTTCTTTGGCCATAGAACATTTTATAGGACTAATTATCATTCACCAAACTTATTTTGGAAACTGCTGCTTTAGACCTCTGGTTTTCTTTTTCTTTTGTTTTTTTGTTTTGTTTTGTTTAATTTTATTTTGTAGGCCTCTGGTTTTCAAACACAGCAAAGGAGCCCTGGAATCCCAAAGGTAAAAGGGAGGTAGGCCAGTAGAGACCATACCAATCTTGTTCACCATTACGTACTCTGTATAGTGTGAGCATGTGGAAGCACATCACACATTTCTTGAATGACTGATTCTTGACTTTATATAAGCTCCATTAGGTCAGGAACTGTAACGGTTTGTTCACCATTGCATTCCCAGGACCATAGCACACAGTAAGTACTCAGTAACTGTTGAGTTAAATAGATGGAGCAGCTCTTGTCATTACTGTTGTTGCTAAAGATTTTGGTTCTAAAAAAGATGAAAATGATTAGCCAGAATGAAGTAATTAATCACCTAGAAATTTAATTTAGTTATTCCATCATTACTGGATATTGAGATTTGCATTTATATACTTTAAACTTTTATCTCCCAAAAGATTAGGGTATTTAATTAAATATTTTCAACATACAAAAGAATAAATAATAACACACATGGTATAAAAGTAATAAAACAAATACTTCAGTATCTATTATCCAGTGTTAGAAATTCTTAGATCATTAGACAGTCTGGGGTCCTGGCAGGAAGGTGTGGTGGTGAGACCGGCTGGGAAGATGCCAGTGGTTGTGATGGTGGAATGTGCCTTCAGTTTCAAAAAGTTACTGTATCAGTGCAACAATCAAGAGCTTGAGGCTCTGGAGGTATTGCTACACACCCAATGTATGGTCAGCTTCTAGTTTTATATTTGTTCCATAATGACATGAATAATGCAAGATATCTTTGGAAAGGAGTACCTTCCACCTGCTACAAAATCTGCAAATTCTGTACTTGGAGAAATTTGGTCTGTAGAATAAAGAATCTGGCAGAGAGATTTCCCTGGAATTTACACGACCACCAACACTCACCAGTGGTTTGAGATGGTCTAGCCAATCATGGAAGAACTTAGAGATGCTACAAGTTGCCGAGCTTTTGCCCTGGTCTCTCAAGCCCGTACCTCAGTAATCGCTGATGATTTTGCAGCCTTTGTTGGACTTCTGTAGAAGAGGCTGTGAAATATATATTAGTGCAAGGATGGCAAGCTGACTCTACCACAAGGATGGTTCTTCCCAGAAAGCCAATTGCAGGGGCCCTGGATATTTCTTGTAACAGGTTTATTCCCTTTTCAGAGCCTGTACCAGTTCCCCAAGTCCCCAACAAACAGCAGTTAGCCATGTGGTTTTCCTTGAAAACTGATTTCTCATTCTCAGTTCAAGATCCACCTTCAGAATCCTGTATACTGACAAATATAGTAATGTAAAATTTTTGTTTTCAGTTTATTGGATGGATTAAGCACCTCAGCATTCCTTACTGAGTATGTGATAAAATATATATATATTTTGTCCTTAAACATTAGGCTGAATAGTTGTTGAAACAATTCTCATTTTGTGTAAAATTTAACAGTTTGGATGGAGCCTGTCAGTATTATGCAGTTAGTTTTTATTTCCTAGTGACTCATAAAATAAGCTCTCCTGCTTTGTATAGAACAGTGGTTGTCAACTGTCTTTTCCCTGCCCCAGCACACACCACACTCCCATCTGTACCACTGGTTGATAGTTGTAGTGATTCATTTGGTGTTTAAGGAGGAGTTAAAATTCCTAATGGAACCTGAATTGCTGGGGATTGAGATTCACCTTCTCTGGAGAATATGCTCTCTTTTTCCCCCCTCCTGATAATCACTAACGTAGAATACAGAAATATAGCTGAGGGACAAATAGACCGTTTCTTTAGTAAACCAGTTTGTTAACTTTAGATTTTTTCTGACAGCGTATGTGGCATTGCTGGCAATGGAGGGCTTACCATGAAAATGGGACTTATTTAAGACATTCATGAGAAGTATTAAGTTGTTATGTCTCCTTTCAGAAGAAGGGAAAAGTTAACATAGAATGCATTGTATGTGGAAGGAAGCTGTTAAGATAAGTAATACACTTTGTACTATCCTGCAGCCATTTGGTTGCTTGTATTTATCCCTTGGTTCAAGTTCTGCCTTTTGGAGAAATACTGAACAAGTCTTTCATTTTTTGTGTGACAGCTCTCTGAATATTTGAAGTTGTTTATTGTATTACCATGTTAAAATACCCCTTAGTTCATTTATTATGCATTTGTTCAATGAATATTTAATTGAATTCTTAAAAAAAAAAATAGATCATTGCCAGTTTCCTTGTGTGCCCAGCCCCCAGTCTTTTCTCTTTCCTTCCTCCCTAAGAGTAACCATTATTCTAAATGTTCTTATCATTCTCTTGCCTTTCTATTTCAGTTTTACTAAATATATATGTATCTCCCAAATAATGAATGAAGTTTTTTGTTATTGAATTTTACATAAATTATATCGTGCTAGATGTAATAGTTTTTGCTGAGTATTAATTTTTGAGATTGATTCATATTGATGCATCTAACTGTAGTTTATTCTTTTTATTGCTATATGGTATTCCATTGTATGACTATATCTCTATTTATTCACTGTTCTATCAGTGGACATTTGAGGTTTCTACAGTTTTTTGATAATTCATACTCTAATACTATAAACATTTATATATATATATTTCTCAATGTACGTGTATAAGTATTTTCCTAGAATACTTATACAAAGGAGTACCAAGAATCTAGAATACTTATACCAAAGAATACCAAGGAGTAGAATATCTGGGTCATAGACTTGTATTTTTTTTTTTTTTTTTTTAAAGATGACCGGTAAGGGGATCTTAACCTCTGACCTGGTGTTGTCAGCACCACGCTCAGCCAGTGAGCAAACCGGCCATCCCTATATGGGATCCGAACCCGGGGCCTTGGTGTTATCAGCACCGCACTCTCCCGAGTGAGCCACAGGCCGGCCCCTAGACTTGTACATTTTTAACTTTACGAAGATAATACCAGATTTGTTTATCAGGATATTTGTGTTTACATACCCACTGGCATTGTATGAAAGATCCCATTGCGTCACAGCCTCTTTAACATCTGCTGTTATCTGACTTTTTCATTTTTTCCAATATAGTGTTTGTGAATAGTATCTCATTGTCATGGTTTGAATTTGCATTTTCCTGACTTGTAATGAGGTTGAAAATCTTTTCATGGGTTTACTAACCACTTTTGTTAACTTTTCTGTGAAATGCCTCTTCATGTCTTTTGCTCATTTTTCTTTATCAATCTGTAGGTGCTCGTTATATACATTCTAGATATTAATCCATTGTCAGTTTTATGTATTGCAAATATCTTTTCCCATTTGTGACTTACCTTTTTACTTTTTTTTAAGAGTGTAAGGACAATGTTGAAAGGACTATCAAGGCTTATTATCTCCAGGGTCCATAAGGTGAGTCTTAACTGATCTAAGGCTTTGTGCAAACTGCTTGTAGGTATATTGCTTGTTTATAGATGGATTTATTATATTAAGAATCAAATACTCTGGTTCAGCTTTCATTTACAAGTTTACACTCAAAAGAACAGTCACAATTTCATTTGTCTACCTATATACTTTACTCCCAGATGCCCTAAAAATCTTCAGTTAACAGATCTCAGTAGAATAGTTGTGTTTGAGAATTTACCATGTGATAGGAGAATTAACATTTTTCCAAAAAAAACAGGTAAGTTTGAATACAGTTATCTTTTATTATTTCTCTCATTGGATTAATGGTTATCATCCCTTAATGAAGTATTTAAAAGAAAAACAAGTAGCCAACTTAGAGCTTTAACATGATGGTAGAATAAAATAATAAAATCATTTATGAAAAAGATCGTTCTGCTGGTTTACATCATTCTTTTATTCATTTACCAAATAGTTTTTCAATACCTTCCATATAACAGGTATTCAGAATTTCAAGATGACTCATTTTACTAACAGTAGTTACAAGGGTACTTCAAAATGTTCATGGAAAGATTCGTATTATCTTTCAATTCTATTTTTCCATGAACATTTTGAAGTACCTTCGTATTATTTGTTGGGCACTTATTATGTGTCAGGTACTGTGCTGATTGCTTTATTTCTTTTAATCCTCATGACCAACCCATGAAGAAGATAATATCTTTGTTTCACAGATGCAGAAACTGAGGATTAGAATGGCTAAATAACTTAAATAAGGAAACAGGCTGTGAAGCTGCAAAGCCAGACTAGATGCCAGGTCTGTCTGGCTTCAAAGCCTGTGGCCTAATCACTATGCTATGTTGCACTTAATGGTCCATGTTCTCTAGAACTTCACAGTCCAGTAGTGGAATCATGAATAAATGACTGGTACTGTGTGGTGCTATTACAGTACCAAGGAAGAGTACCTAACTTGGATTAGTTGAGTCCAGAAGAAATCCTCCCAGTGCTAAATCCTGAAGGATGAGAACAGCCAGAAGGGTGTGGTCCCTTTCATCTGATCATTTAATTACAGATTAGATTTCCTAGAAGAAGAGCCTTTCTCGTGTAGGGTTCTCCTCTCCCTACCCCCATGGGTTCATGAAAAACCTATGTACATAAAATAACCCATTATTATAAAATGAAATAAAAGCAAGGATCAACAGAGGGTTGGATCACCTCAACCGATCATATTGCAAGGCTTAAAATGTCTTCTTCCTTAATACCAGATAAGAACTGAGGCCAGACCATAAAAGAGATGTTAGTGAGAGGAATTTTGTGGGTTTTTTAGTTCGGTTCAGGGTGACCTAGATTGGCCCACAAATGCTGTTTGTTCTGGAACTGTGCAGTGACAGTCATACATATGGTTGTTTTCCCTGGAAACTAAGATTAAGCTGGGTCATGGCATACATAACACTCCTAAGAAGTAAGGGATCCATTTTCCTAGCTTAAAGTCATCAGATTACTGTAGAAATAGCACCACCTTGTGGTCCTTGAATACTTTTAGTTTTCCACTTGACCTCTTAAAGAGAGACATGGTGCTTTCTCTCCAGTAGATAAAATTGAGTAGTATTAGTACTAAGATGTATTTTTCAGATTGCTATGCCGAGGTGACAAGCCCTGAATTCTCAATGGCTTAACACAACAAAGGGTATTGTTTGTATTATGTGTATGGGTTTTGCTTTGTTTTTGCTGTTCCTATATTTCCAAAAGGCTTTGCAGGCAAGATTGAGGAGATGGACATAGGTACAAAGGTTCACCTTCTCAGGAAAGCTCAACATGTAGCTTTTAAGGTTGCCACAGCGGGAGAACAAAAGAAAGAATTTATATCTACTCTTAGCTGGCTCTGACTAGAAATGACACAATTTATTTTCACTCCCAGCTCTTTAACCAGAGGCAATCACATGACCCCAGCCTTTCTGCAAGGGAGGCTGAGAAATGTAGAATATTTGGATATTTAGTGAGCATTGTTAGCTCTGTTATGAAGTAAATTTACAATCATACATTCTCAGACAAATTTGGGGCAACCTATTGCTTTACTCTGTTACTTTATATTGAAATCTGCCAGTAATGGTTCAGAGATTCCAGTGTGTTGTTCACTATGTTGCCTGTAGAGTTTACTTCCTTAGCTGGAGACTTTACATACTTTCACATTACATGTTGCTGTGCTAGTTGTCAGACTCTTTTACCTGCCAGTAATCCTGCACCAACTGGGCCGATTGTTGAACTAGGGCTGGATCTGGAGCTCCCAGACCCCTCAAGCCCGTTCACAGACTGGGTCACAAGCCCTTCATATGCCAGGCTGGGTCACCAGACCCCTTCACGCAGGTCTATGAGCTAGGTAACTGGCCAAAAGGTCCAAGGGTCCTTGGAGCCATAGGTTGGAAAGCCTGGCTGTACAGGCCTACACCCGCCCACCTGCTTCACTAAAACTTCTCTCTCTCTCTCTCCTCTCTCGAATAGCAACAAAACTAAAAAGATACATTGGTGTGCATGTGCACTAACACACACACACACACACACACACACAATTTGCTTACAAAGGATGCTGAACCACACCCAGCTGAACCCGAGGCGAGGGCCTTGACCAAACTATACTATTTTCCCAACAGATCTTTAATGAAAGATTCTTGGGCCGGCCTGTGGCTCACTCAGGAGATTGCGGTGCTGATAACACCAAGGTCATGGTTTCAGATCCTATATATGGATGGCTGGTTGGCTCACTGGCTGAGCGTGGTGCTGACCACACCAAGTCAAGGGTTAAGATCCCCATACCGGTCATCTTTTTAAAAAAAAAAAAGATTCTTCATTCCAGGGCACAAGTACTAAGTATTTGTGGTGTGTTAGGTACTTGGAGGAGAAGATACAAAAATGAATAAAATCTAATCCCTCTCTTCCAAGTGTATGACCTAGAATGAGAGGTGAACGTGTATAAGATAACATGACATGATAAAAAGAATAGAGATTTTGGAGTCAGAAAAACTTGGGTTCGAATTCTGGTTCTACCACCAACCAACTCTGACCTTAGTAAAAATTGCTTAACTTCACTGAACCTTGTTTTCCCTATCACAAAACAGGGATGATAATACTCTACCTGACTTGCAGGATTCTAGGCTCAAAAATAGTGCATGTAAGATACTATATTGCCTAGCATCTAACAGATACTCTTAACAGTAGTTATGAGTGCAGTTCAAGGCAGAGTAAAACTGCAATGCAGTATGAAAAAAGTGCTATTAGCAGAAAAGGAAAGATAATTACTTTTGATTGGAGGTGTCTGCCAAATCATCACTGAGGATGTGACATTTGAGTTGAGCCTTAATGAATGGGTAAGATAAATAGGTAGAGAGGGAAATCAAAGTAGAATGAGCAGAGGTATAGAGGCATAAAAGTGAATGACATGTTTCAGCATGGTCATATGACCAGAATGTAGAGTTTATGAAGGAATTAGACCAGAAAGGTAGGTTGAAATCATAATAGTGGTCTCAATTATCATGCTAAGAACTTTGATATTTACTTTGATATCAGTAGGGAACCATTTATTGCTTTTTGGTCAGCTGAAAGTTAAACCTATTATTTGGGAGGATAAAAGATTGTGAAAGATGAAGAATCAAAGATTTAGAGATAAGGATATTGGTTAAAAAGTTGTTATGATAGCCTCTCTAAACCTGTGTAATAGGAATGGACTGTTAGAGATGGAATTTATACATGGAGTTTAAGTCTTCTCATAAAATGGGTATAAGTGTTAGGAGGGGTGGTACAAAAATAATATTCATTTCTGCACTCAAGAAGCTGCTTGAGTGCAGAAATGGATATAAACACAGGTAGCTTTCACATTACCCATTGATTTATCAAGCAACTCCCTTATTACATCCATCTCTCATTTCCCTGTTCTCCTGGCTTTGTACCCTAATCTTTTCTTCATACTGGCATCTTTTCACCTTCTACATAAGGCCTCAATTTTGGGGTTCTCCACTTAACATTTTCTCACATTCGTCTCCCGATATCTCATCTTTCCCTTCCTCCCTGGTTAAGAGGTTTCTGTGTGCGGTTCACCAAGTTACCTATAAAGAGTTTACTTTCACTTAGCTGGATGTTTTACACACTCCCTCATTACATGCCTCCAATGAAAGATTATTTATTCCAGGGCACAGCTAGAAAATTGCTACAGAGGTCATAATTATAACTATCAAATAGTGAAGAACATTGTACTAATTCCCTGATAACTGAAGTGATGTGATTATTGGACATCTGAGAAATGCATGATAGTAGGAACCATTCATCACTGTGGGTGGGCAAGTACATTAAAAGAAGTTTGACAATTCTAAAACACTAAATTGTGGTTTTTTGTAGTTGGACCCTGGACGTTTTTTGCACATGGACACCCAGGCATCCCAGAGCATTGCTGCTCACCTAGATAACCAGGTTCCAGTTGAGAGTCCCAGAGCTATTTCCCGCACCTATGAGAGTGACCCGGTGAGTTGCTAATATGTATATGGGGTTTTACAGGGCTTATAATTTGCTTTGCTGTCCTCATTTAACATATCAGGAAAATTGAAACTTAAAAGATGCTAAGCAGTTTACATATAGTCAGATAGGCAGTGCATCTGAGATAGCTCTCTGGAACCCAGATCTCCCCTGTCCCTGCCTGATACTGTGGTAGCATAAAGTTCTCAGGTCACTCCACATATGTTCTGACTTAATTCCTACTAGTGAAATCACCTAGTGCCAAGGATTTTGCTGAGCATAGAATAGGTGCATAGTACTTATTAAGTTCAATGTCTTACAAGGTAAGATTAGCGGTTATTGCTGATCTATTGTATGTTGGGTGGCAAACTTTTCCTTAAAAGATCAGGTATTAAGTATTTTAGGCTTGTGGGCTGTAACAGTCTCTGTCACAGCTCTTCAACTCTGCCATAAACAAATAGGTGTGGCTATGTTCCAGTAAACTTTATTAACAAAATTGGTGACCAGTCATAGCTTACCAACCCCTGGTATGAAGAATACTAAAGAAATAAAATTACTTGCCCAAAATCACACAGCAGGGCAGGTGCAGAACCCAGTTTTTCTGATAACCAGTCTGGTACTATTTTTCATCCTTGTAAATGGATTTCCTGGTGTCAAGAGAGGGAACTAACTTGATTTCTTATGAGAAGAGCAATGTTTAAAATGAAGTTTGTCGGGCCGGCCCGTGGCTCACTCGGGAGAGTGTGGTGCTGATAACACCAAGGCCCCGGGTTCGGATCCCATATAGGGATGGCCGGTTCGCTCACTGGCTGAGCGTGGTGCTGACAACACCAAGTCAAGGGTTAAGATCCCCTTACCGGTCATCTTTTAAAAAAAAAATAAATAAATAAAAATAAAATGAAGTTTGTCAGCAGAAGCCAGGATTCCAGCAGTGTCCAATGTTGCATTTTCTAGTTCAGGTCCCATTAGGCTGGATATTGATTTCTGTCTCATTCCCCAGCATTGTTGCTACCTTTCATAAAAGAATTAGTTTTGTGTTTTGTGCTTTTTTTTTTCTTTGTACAGCTGGCCAGTATGGGGGTCTAAACCCTTGAACTTGGTGTTACAACACTGTGCTCTAACCAACTAAGCTAACCAGCCAGCCAGTCTGTGCTTTAATGTGAAGAGCACCAACAGCTTGTTTGTCCCTGCACCTACCCTCTGAGTCTTCCCATCTTAATACAAGCTGTGTGAAAGGGGAAAAGAATAACTCATTACCCAAAATACCATCCCAGCAGGGTGTATTTTATATATGTCTCTAGCATTCACCTATTTTTACAAGCACAAAATAAAATAGAATAAATGAATGGAGTCACTGAAGTGCCTTTAGCTCCCTCCATAATTGTAGTCCCTTTATCTGTCGATTCCTCTGGGGTTTCTATGGAAACAGCAGCATGCAGATTATCTTGTCACATGACTGGAGCATCTCTATATATAGCACAGAGGAATCTAGATGGCAAGAATTGTCTCTGTTACCCCCACATGTAGGGTTTTTACTGAGCAACTGGTTTCATCATTCAAGCCACCACCTTTATATACACACTGGATTGGGGGACAACAACCAGCATTTTTGTTTAAGATAAAAAAATGAAAGATATCTTTTCCAGCTCTGACAGATGAGTGTTTCCCCAGCGTGGTCTAGCAGGCCTAGTGCACTTTTCAGAATATTGACCAGTTTGTCTGTGTCCACATTACACCTGTTTGCATTTTTATTTCCTAGGCCAAGCATGGGGAGCAGCACCAGGGTCAGCACTACAACATCCCCCTCCAGGATTTGAAGACTGTATTTCCCCATGGCCTGCCTCCCCGCTTTGTAATGCAGGTGCTCAAAACAGGGAATGGAATTGGGGGTGAGCCCAGAATACAAGCTGCTGATAGCAAGGGGGTGAGGTTAAATGAGTAGAAAACTATAAAAGATGAAAATCGGATCTGAAAAACAGATTCAGCTGCTGATTATCTTTGGTGAATAGTACAATTACCTTAAGCTAATGTTTATCTTCTGTTAACCACCTTAAATTCTTTTTGGAGCCACGTAAATATACTTATAAATAAGCCATATTGACATTTTTTTTTTCCTTGTGTTACCTAATAAGTTTTTAGAAACTCTGGCGTTCAAGTAATTGTTTAAAATGAACTTTAATATTTGCCTTGGCAAAATATCATGAAAATACTTAAAATGCTGCACAAAAACAAAATTGTAATACATTCCTGAGCAAAGCAGAAATGATATTTAGACTATATATATCATTATTCTTCATTTTCATGGATTATAAGAAAATGTCGTTTTGTGGCCATAACTTCAACCCAAAGAGTATAATCTTGGATTACTTCATAGCCATTGAAAGAATTCATGTGATTACTGCAAGCATAGTTTATTGGCACAACTGATTCTTCTGAGTAGCTCATGCTGAATTACTTGCAGCATTAGAAATTATATCTTCTTAATGAAATATCAAACTTGCCTGTGTACGTGATATTAGCTTAGGAGCAAGAGGATGTCATTTCTTCAGTGTGCTTTATTTTAGGAAATTAGATGATAATAAGGGAATAATACCAATAAGGGAGTTAATTCTAGACCACAGATACCCTTGTCATCAAAAATTTTGTTAAGATCGGAAATGGGACACAGTCAGAAAAAATCATCTGTAATGGCACTTTATACTGTTCCAAGACATTCACATACAGTTTTCAGTTTCTGGGTTGTAAAATCCTGTCTTTGATTAAACATTCAGGTTGCTTTCAGACTGGCTTACCCACCGGTGCTCTGGAGGGAATTCCTCATTAATTTTTACCATGGGGCCGGCCCGGTGGCGCAGTGGAGAGTGCGCCGCTTGGGAGTGCGGCAGCGCTCCCGCCGAGGGTTCGGATCCCACGTGGAGACTGGTTCCCGCTCACTGGCTGAGCGCGGTGCAGGCGCAACACCGAGGGTTGCAATCCCGTTGCCGGTCCCCGGTACGGGCGCGACACCGAGGGTTGTGATACCGTTACCGGTCAGTAAAAAAGACAAAAAGGAAAAAAAAAATTTTTACCATGATTTCCATTTATAAAAGGCCAGCTCCCTCACCATTTTTTTTGTTTTAGTACTGTCATACTGCCTAACATGACATTTCTATTTTAATATCTGTATCATGTTTTTGAAGATTGCACTTTATATTAAATTTGGACTTACCTGTCAACTCCTACACCAATCTAATAGTTTTGTTAGGATTTTTTTTTTTTTATAATACCAACACTGTGGGCCTAGCTGGTTAGGTCAGTTGGTTAGACCACGGTGTTATAACACCAAAGTTAAGGGTTCTTTCCCCATATCGGCTAACCATGGGGAGAAAAAAATACCAATACTCTTTTATTTTTACTTATTTATTTCAGCAGCTTGCCTGTACAGGGATCAACTCTTGGACCTTGGTGTTATTAGCATCATACTGTAACCAACTGACCTAACCAGCCAGCCCCCAAAATATTTTAAACCTTACTTGCAAATATTATTTGTTAGATATTTATTCTTATTAGAAGACATAATTAAATACTTTATTTGCAAATCACTTTCACACACATATCAGTGCTTCCCGAATTTTTCCACCAAGGTATTCTGGTGGCAAAATGGGAGTGAACACATAAACTCTGATGTGTCAGTATGCTGGTGGTGTGAGGTATGGCCCCATAATTGTGGAGCATCTGGTCATACCTGCTCCTGAACTGCCATGTATGTAGCTACAGAAAAAGGTCTAGATGGTTATAGTAATAAAAATTAACTAAAAATAAATTTAAAAGAATCAGTGTTTGTTGAATGCTTACCATGTGTCAGATACTTTGATAAACATTTTACATGCTTTTAATATTTATATTGACCCTAAGTGGTATACATAGTTATATTATGCGATGTCTGCATTATTTATAGATTTCAGTAAACTGATATAATATCTATGTTTCATTAACAGGAATAATTAAAAGTTGACTATTATGTTGCTTGGTGTGGAACAATATTTCAGTTTTTAGCTAAATTATATGGATAGATTTTTCAAATTCAATACCAATCCAACTTTTCATAACTGAGTAAATTGAAGCATGCAGTCTGGTGCCCTTGGTTGCTGCATTAGGTTTAGTGTGTACAATAAGAACTAGTTAGATGTTTCACACCCACCCTCTCCTTCCTTCTTCTCTGTTTTGTTAGGTGAAGACATTCGGTGAAGCTTGCCTGATGATAAGGAAACCAACCCTAGAGCTTCTGCATTACCTGAAAAACACCAATTTTGCTCATCCAGCTGTACGATATCTTCTCTGTATCCTTTCCTGCCTGCCTTGGCCCTCTGGTTCCAACTTTTTCTCCCCTCAAAATAAGGGAAAAGAAGAAATGCAAGAATGCTGTTGACAATAGAAGTATCCCATCTTAGTGATGTTTTCTTTAACAACAGGTACTTTAGATGGGGAGAAGGGAACAGGAAAAACCCTCAGTCTTTGCCATGCTATTCATTTCTGTGCAAAACAGGACTGGCTGATACTGCATATTCCAGATGGTAAGAACTTCCTATCTTTTCTTCTCTGTCAGGTTTAGTTATCCTGTTACTGAGGTAGCAGTGTGGCTTTAATTTCCTGACAGGACCATAACAGCTGAAGGAAAAGCCTTTGCTCCAAATATAGAGTAGTCTGAACTAGCTCATCATGATTTCTTTATATTAGTGCCAAGCAGATTGCTAGGTGAAGTATATATGACAAGAGGAAATTTGGCTAAGAACCTTCTGAAGTCTTTTGACACTAAGCAGTCCTTACTTTGATTTAATGCCCAAGAGCATAAACCCTGGCCTTAGAGGTCACCACAGGTTTTTGTTTTGTTTTGTTTTTCCCATCAATTTTGAATATCCATAGAGCCTTTTACTATTTAGCATTCTAGAGTTGTCAGCATGGATCCTAAAAACTTAAACTTAAACCGTTATACGTTGCATATATCCCTTTTTGTTCAATGTTGTATACATCCAGTTTCTGACTTAGCTTTAAAAACTGCCAGTAAGCAGAGGTGACATTTAATGCATGTGGTATTTCTTATGAATTCATTGTAATGATAATGTTTAGTTTAAGATGAACCGGACAAAAATGTAAATCCCAGAGCAAGAAGGCTTTAAGAAAGAAATATGGGAAACTAAAGTCATTTCCCATAACTTACAGAGGCATAGATTATTTTGAGTTGAATATAGTCAGTTCCTGCCTATTTTGTTTTCTTGTGCCTTTTTTTTAAGCTCATCTTTGGGTGAAAAATTGCCGGGATCTTCTGCAGTCCACCTATAACAAAGAGCGCTTTGATCAACCTTTAGAGGCTTCGATGTGGCTAAAGAACTTCAAAACTGCAAATGAACGCTTCCTGAGCCAGGTGACTAGACTGCCAGAAGTTTGGTGCTGGACTGTCTTTATATACATTCTGTCTTCCTTCTACCCTGAGTACCAGTAGGCTATGGAGAACTGATACTGTAGTTTGGAATAACTATACTATTTTGTGTTTCTTTCGTACATTTTGCTCACAGTGGGCTCACAACTGGAAGCTCATTATCCATGTGAAATAAAGAAGCAACAATAAGCAGTTTTGTGGGCAGCAAAGTGAAAACCATATTGATCCGTTGACTTTTCCAAGGCACTGCCTCAACTTCCCCACAAGCACGTGTCCACCTATATGATTTTCTCCAGATAAGATCTTTGTTGAGAACCAGAAATGTATTTGTAAAATTGTTTTTTACTCCTGAGATTCTTGGATACAATCCCTAGACCACGGGTTTCAACTCTGGGTATAAAGCAGAATCAGGGCCGGCCCGGTGGTGCACTGCTACAGTGCGCCACTTGGGAAGCGCGGCAGCGCTCCCGCCGAGGGTTCGGATCCCACATACAGACCGGCCGCTCACTGGCTGAGCGAGGTGTGGGTGCAACACCGAGGGTTGCGATCCCGTTGCCAGTCCCAGTCCGGTACGGGCGCAACACTGAGGGTTGCGATCCGTTGCTGGACATGAAAAAAGACAAAAAAAATAAAAATAAAAAAATAAAGCAGAATCACCTAGGAGCTTATTAAAAATGCAGATGCCGAGGCCTCATTATGGACCTTTCTAGTCAGAATCTTACTTTTTTTTCCCAAAGCTCCAGGCAGAAATGGGTTAGAAAGCATTCACTTCCATATTGAGGTCTCTTATAAAAGATCCGAAAAATAGATTAAAACTGAGTCCTTAACTTCCTACCTTCTCAAGGGATGGGTTCACCCTTAGGTGAAGTAGCTTTTTTTTTGGTTTTTATTTTGTTTGCTTGTTTTTAGATAAAAGTTCAAGAAAAATATGTCTGGAATAAGAGAGAAAGCACGGAGAAAGGCAGTCCTTTGGGAGAAGTGGTTGAACAGGTATAAGAGAAGACTCTGAATGTGTATCATGTCATAACCATAGAAAGCCTCTTATAGCACTGTAAGCCACTGTCTCTCCCAACAGGGCATAACACGGGTGAAGAATGCTACAGATGCAGTTGGGATTGTGCTGAAAGAGCTAAAGAGGCAGAGTTCTTTGGGCATTTTTCACCTCCTGGTGGCAGTGGATGGAATCAATGCTCTCTGGGGGAGGACCACTCTGAAAAGAGAAGATAAAAGCCCGGTAGGAAAACTGGATTTCTCTGTTCTGGTTTCTCTGATTTCTGATTCCATCATTTACAGAGGCTGGAATTTGCATTGTAGATCATGCAATATATTTTCTTGTTCTAGGAGTATTTGAATTAAAACTTACAGTGAAAATAGCATCAGAAGGGCCGGCCCGGTGGCGCACTGGAGAGTGCGCCGCTTGGGAGCGCGGCGGCACTCCCGCCGAGGGTTCGGATCCCATGTGGAGACCGGTTCCCACTCACTGGCTGAGCGCGGTGCGGGCGCAACACCAAGGGTTGCGATCCCGTTACCGGTCAGTAAAAAAGATAAAAAGGAAAAAAAAAAAGAAAATAGCATCAGAAGGAGAAGGTGATACCAGGAGTTCCATTATACATTGAAAACTAAGGGATAGAGTTTGGAAAGAGCATGACAGCACAAGCTTTCTTTCTGTTTTCTTTCTTTCCTAATTTTTTGTCTCTATTCTGTATTTCAAATGAGGCTATGTTGTCTAAGCGGAGAAGATCAGAAGCATCAAGGAAGGGGTTGGTTTAGGGTACTGGGTGTTTTCTCTCTTGGTGACAGTTTTTAATCTGCAGATGCATGGCAGTTCTAGGGCCAGTGGCTATGTAGCTTGTCCCAGAGGGTATACCTTCAGGTACCATGATTGTGTAGTAGTTGTTAATTCAGTTGTCTCAGAGGCGCAACCAGGAAAAGCAAGTAATGATCTCTTCTCTCTCTCACTGACCAATGTGCAGATTGCCCCAGAGGAACTAGCACTTATTTACAACCTAAGGAAAATGATGAAAAATGACTGGGTAAGTGCATATGATACCTTTCTGAAATGTGTTTTTGTTTTAAACATATTCTACTACATTGCTAATACTTTGCTGTCTCTAACTTTATGGACAGAAAGTTCTTTTTCTTAATTCCTGTAACTGTACAAAGTTAAGAGTAAAGTCTGGATTTAAATCTATGTATTTGTTTTCTAATCTTTCCACTTGACTGGAGTAAACTTATTCAAAACCATTTTATTTAAATATTGGCCTGATTTTATTTTGCTTGCAGTTGTTTAAAGCGTTTTGTATCTTCTTACCATCTTTAAAAAGACTTTGAGACTCAAAAATAAGTTTTGATAAATTTAGGATTGTGCAGCAATTTATTGTTAGGGCCAAATTTAGAACTAATAATCAATTTATTTGCCACTTAACTGTGCTAGACCACACTGTCATAACAGTGTATGGTAAAAAATCTAGATGATAAAGTTGAATTTTTATTTCTACTTCAGCTTTTTCTAATTCAGCCTTTTTTCCTTCCTTTCAGCATGGAGGTGCAATTGTGTTGACTTTGAGCCAGACTGGGTCTCTCTTTAAGCCCCGGAAAGCCTATCTGCCCCAAGAGTTGCTGGGAAAGGTCAAGTCATGGGAAAATCTGTTTCCCCTTAGATAGTCTTTTTAGAAGAGAGGTCTTTTTAAAATTAACTTGTTTCTGACATAATTTCACACTTAGAGAAAAACCACATTCCTGTATGCCCTTCACTCAGATTCCTAAAATGTTAACTTCATCATATTTGCTTTATCCTTTTATCTCTCTCCGCTTTTTTTTATTCAAGTATACGTGACAGTAACCTGCAGACATGTCTGTTTATCTCTAAATAATGTCTCTTTCCTAAAAACAGAGATATTCTAATATATGACCATAGCAACAGTTATTAAAATCAGGAAATTATCAGTTACAATACTTTCACCTAATCTGTGGAACTTAATGTTTTTGCCAGATATCCCAATATCCTAAATAGAAAAAGAAAGTCTTGGATAATGTGTTATATGTTCAGTTATGTTGTATCTTTGGTCTCCTTTAATCTGTGACAGTTCTTCAGTCTTTGTCTTTTATAAACTTTATATTTTTGAAAAGTACATGCCAATTATTTTGTAGGTTATTTTATGGGTTGCCTGCCTCATGTTTCCTCCCGAATAGAAGTGATGTTAGAAATGAGGATGTATCTTTTCTGTGCATCTTATCAGGAGGCACATGACATCTACTTCTCCCATTACTGGTGATGTTAATTTTGAACACTTAGTTGAGGTGGTGTCCATCTGGTTCTCCTCAGTAAAGTTACTATTTTCCCTTTGTAATTAGTAAGTATCTCTGGGAGATATATTGAGAGTAGGTAAATATTCTGTTACTCCTCAGACTTTCACCTACTAGTTTTAGTATCCATTACATTCATGATTCTTTCCTAAATCAGTTATTATGATAATAGTCAAATAGAGATTTTCTAGCTCCATTGTCTCTTCTAAATGTGTCTCTTGGCTTTCTATTATAAATAAGAACTTTCTCTTTTCCCTTATATATTTGTTTGTTTCAGTATGGACTTGCAGATTCTTATTTTAATGCGTTCTAAATCTTTACTATCATTTTTTATTTTAATGCTCAAATTATCCCATATTTGACCAATAGGAGCTCCTTCAAACTGGCTTCTATGTCATGTTAACATGTCCCTATCATTCTTTTTTTTTTTTTTTCCTTTTTGTCTTTATTTTTCGTGACCGGCAACGGATCACAACCCTCAGTGTCGTGCCCGTACCGGACCGGGACCAGCAACGGGATCGCAACCCTCGGTGTTGCACCCGCACCTCACTCAGCCAGTGAGCGGGAACCGGTCTGTATGTGGGATCCGAACCCTCGGCGGGAGCGCCACCGCGCTCCCAAGCGGCACACTGTAGCAGTGCGCCACCGGGCCGGCCCGTCCCTATCATTCTTTTTTTTTTTTTTTCCTTTTTGTTTTTTTTTTTCGTGACCGGCAACGGATCACAACCCCCAGGGTCGGGCCCGTACCGGACCGGGACCAGCAACGGGATCGCAACCCTCGGTGTTGCACCCGCACCTCACTCAGCCAGTGAGCGGGAACCGGTCTGTATGTGGGATCCGAACCCTCGGCGGGAGCGCCACCGCGCTCCCAAGCGGCACACTGTAGCAGTGCGCCACCGGGCCGGCCCGTCCCTATCATTCTTTTAACATTGCTTTACTTTCTAGCATAAGAACATGTTCCAGACTCATCTTGTACTTTCTGTGCCCCAACCCTGGAATCAGCCATTTTCTCTAAGGAGGCTTGGTTTGTTTTAGAGGAGAATGGTATTTAGAAACCAAGTGGTGTGTGTACTCATTTCTACTGGGGTGTCATTTTTTTCTGGGCCCTCTCAGCAGAGCTAGTAAACAGATACAAGTAATGTTCATATACACATATATACGTGCATGTATATGTATGCATGTACTGTGTGCACGTTTATATATACACATCCCCATATATCTATATCTGTTTCTCTAATCATATTCAGAAACCACTAGTTCATACTGCTACTTGCCACTTCCATGCTAGTGTCACAGCATTCATTATATCCTTCCCCCTTTCCATATTTGTAACCCTCATCTACTACAATAAGAAATCTTCTCTCACTAGCTACAATATATTTACTTATTTGCTCAGTCCTAGAATATGTTAAAAGTAGCTCTAGATTTGCTAACCCTTGACTCTGTGAAAAAGAAGCTGCTAACTACAGTTTGATATTTGTTTAGTTGTTGTCTTTAGCCTAAGGGTCTTTAGTCCAAATATTCTGTTCAGAAATTACTTGGTTTAGTTCCCTCTCCCCTCTTCTTCCCCCCCCCTCCTCTTAAATGTTATATTTGAAATACTGTTTGATTGATTCATTTGTTTTTGTTTATATTCCATTTAGTCTTTTTCCCCATTCTTATTAATTTTATTTATATTCTGGTGTTGAGTATATGAAACATTAACTTGGTTCCAAAAGTCAGAACTGTCTGAAAAAAAAAGAAGTATACTGAGACAAGTGGCATCCCCCTCCTCAAGTGTTATTTCTTTTTTTTTTTTTTTTTTCCGTGTCCGGCAACGGATCGCAACCCTCAGTGTTGCCCCCGTACCGGACCGGGGACCGGCAACGGGATCGCAACCCTCAGCGTTGCTCCCACGCCTCACTCAGCCAGTGAGCGGGAACCGGTCTGTATGTGGGATCCGAACCCTCGGGCGGGAGCGCCGCCGCGCTTCCCAAGCGGCGCACTATCCAGTGCGCCACCGGGCCGGCCCCAGTTATTTCTTTTTTAAATATAATGGCCAGCTACAAACAAACAAACAAACAAATAAATAAATAATAAATAATAAATTATATATATATATATATATAAAAAATAAAATAAAATATTTGTGGCCAGGTAGAGCAACAGTAGCCAGCCACCATGTGTGGAGCGCTGTATAAGGCAAGGTAGCCAGAGAGTGAGGAAGAAAGTAGAACAGAAGAAAAACAAAGACCTTGCCCTCAAAATGCTTAAATAGAATTTGTCCCTCTACTGATTTGTCACTTAAATGATACTGTTTCTTTATCCTTTTTCTTCTCCAGGAAGGATTTGATGCTCTAGATCCCTTTATTCCCATCCTGGTTTCCAACTATAACCCAAAGGAATTTGAAAGTTGCATTCAGTATTATTTGGAGAACAATTGGCTTCAACATGAGAAAGGTCAGTTTAATTTTTTTCCCATCAGGGCTTTTGCTCACAGTAGAATCCCACCAAATCAGAGCCTTGATCTCTTCTTCCCTCAGCAGCAACCTGTAATTTGTATTTTATCTTTTTTTCCCTTTATCTTGACTTCTTTCTGGCTAATAAGATGGTACAGAAAGGTGGGTGAGAGGTGGTTAAGGTTTAATTTACAAAACAGATCATATCTCTCCCTAAATTCTCATCTTAGTCCAGAACAAAATGTTTATGCTAAGGAAGGAGGCAAAGCCAAGTCCAGCTACTGGGCAAAGTTTCCAGTGTTTGAGATGCTGCCACACTCATTGTTGCATTTACTCATTCAACAAACTTCAACTGAGAGACTTAGGCTGAGACACCCACAGAATAATTCATATTGTATGAGAGGCTACCCTAGCACCCGAATCTTTGCCATCCCTGCCTTAGTACATGTACAAAAATTAACTCTTAATACCGTATTTGATCCACTTTAACTGAAAGTATTCCAGCTGTTCATGTAACCTTGCCCTTACCTCTGGATGTGAAAGGGGATGTAGAGGAAAAGTAAAGGCTGTTGTGTCAACAGGTAATAAAGAGTTCATAGTAATTGGAATAGGTTACTAAAGTAGTAGAGAGAAGAGCATAAAAGTAGCTGTAGTGTGGTGGGTTGGGAGGCACAGTGGAGAGATTTCTGAGGGACGTAGGAGATTTGTTAAAGTCCTGAAGTCCATAAGATATTCTTGGAATGGAAAGAGAGATAGATGCTGGATTGGAGTGGTAGAGACAGAAAGGGAAATTACACATAGAAAAAAATAATAGTTTAATGGGATAAAGGATCTAGAAGTGAGATCTCTTGGGAGACGCTAATTATGTCAGAACGTAATCTGGGTAAGGTAGCCTTTATCTACAGAATTTTCTGGAGAATGCAATGCAGCAGGAGGAAACTGCCACTTATATGTTTGACTCCATTTTAGCTCAGACAGAAGAAGGGCAGAAGGAGCTGCTGTTCCTAAGTAATGCAAACCCTGGGCAGCTGGAGCGGCTCTGTGCCTACCTCTAAGCCACGGTCAGAACATGCATGGAAGAGAGTGGATATTTCCTTTAGGCTGGACCCAGTCAGGTGGGGAAGTCCCACAGTACAGAGGAAGAACAGCCAGGCTCCTGTACGAACGGGATTGGACAGGACTGCAGTTGGCTCTGGACCTTCATTGAAATGGATTCCTTATGAAGTGACTGTGAACACATGGCAATAAGATGTCCCCTTGTTCCTGAAACTAATATTAGTTTATAGGATTTAGTTTTCACATTTAAGATAATTATGGATCTTTTTCTTAAAACAAATAAAATTAAATATCTTTCTTAAAGTGTTGTGTTAGATCTATAATACGGAAAGAGCCTTCAGATGAGTCAAATTGAATCTCTCTGTCATTCTGCTTGTTGGGGGTCTGAAGAGACTCAATTCTACAGAAATATCCAGTAGTTCTATTTTCTAGACTTTATTCAAAATTCACAGCTTAACTTCTCCCTCACAGACACTTATCATTCACATCCTGTTTATACTTTTGTCCCTTAGTGATCTTTGAGAGCCTTACTGAAACTCCAGCTGAGTTTCTGGCAGCTGTTTATGGTACAGTCCCTTTGTATGTGTTCCTGAGAGAAGTAAGCATTAAACTCCTATCCATTGTATATAATGAATTAACTTATCTTTGATGTACATAGAGTTGTTCTATCTATGTACCATCCTCGGAATAATTGAGAAATAGTAACTCAAATCATTTACAGTAGAGCTTAATCCTTTCACCATACCCAGGTTGTTGGAATGATTTAAAGAGTCAGAATTTTGATTCCCACTTACTACCTGTCTGTCTTAGGGTCTCTTAGTCTTCTCTAATTTCACCTTATCTCTATTTCTATGTAAAGTGTCTAATACATAGTAGGTATCCATTAAACAGTAGGTAACTGTCCTTATAACTTGGATTTTATAATGCTTTATTTGAAGAACTCCCTATCAAAAATAGAGTTTGCACCCTTGAACCAATCTCAAGTCACCCACAGTGGTAGCATGGCAGTGTGTCAGTTTAACTAGTCTGATGCTCTAGCATCATACATGAAGACAGCAGACTTACAGAGACTGGAAAGCTTGACTTTGTGTAACAGATCCCTTTTTATGTGTCTCCTAGTGGTTCTGCTCTGATTGAGCCCTGATGGATATACCTCCCAATATGTCACTAAGCCTTAAGATTTATCTTTTCAGTAGCTCAAACTTACTTCCTCCCCTTCATCCTCACTACCGCTGCCTTCATACCCCTATCTCTTCTTGTTTGATTTACTGTAATCATTTGCTAATTTGTTTCTTTGCCTCCAACTACTCTTGCCTCCTTCCAGTCCATCTTTCACAGGATGCCAGAGTGAGCTTTCTAAAATTCCCCTAGAGGATGTCATTCAGTGGCTTTGCTATGACTTTATTCTAATTTATTTTGCCATATACAAGTTCATGTTACAAATTCCAAACCGTACAAAAACATATAATGAAAAATCAGGCACCTTCCCTTTCTCCCAGTTCTTTTCTAGAAGCAACCTCTGTTACCAAACTCTAGAGATAAACTTCTATGCAAAATATATATATATATATTTTTTTTTTTTTTCCTTTTTGTCTTTTTTCGTGACCGGTAACGGGATCGCAACCCTCGGTGTCGCGCCCGCACCGCGCTCAACCAGTGAGCGGACCGGTCTCTATATGGGATCCGAACCCTCGGTGGGAGCGCCACACTCTACCGAGTGCGCCACCAGGCCGGCCCTATATATATTTTTTAACATAGAAGTTTACTCTATACCTTGGTGTTTCCACTTTTCTAAGAAATTGTATCTGCCAAGATCCTTTCTTGTAAATTAAGTGTTCACTGAAACCAATTTTAAAAGAAGAGATTAAGTAGCACACAGAACCTCTAAGAGGGCAGTGTCATAGGCTCTGCAGCCACAGACAACACTCATACCACACCAGAGAAGAAGGGTGCTGTGGTAGAGGCACCGCTGCTATTATGAACATCCAGCCTGTGACAATGACCATGTGCCATGAGAGTGGCAGCTAAACCCCAGAAACTCCAAGTGCTGGTACCTCCCAAAACGTGAGATGCCACTGCTCTTATCAGAAGATGTTTCCTGGCCCGGACCTGCATCATATTGGCAAGCTTGATCTTTAGCTGCAAATGAGGCTGGGAAACCCCTGCACTTTTGGAAGGCTAAACTCATAAGAGTATGGAATATTAAATTGTACTGTCACTGATTTACCAAGTTGCTGTTGAGGAAGTAACTCATTACTTTTGTAATTTGCTTTATGTGGATTCTTAATTTTCTCCAAATACCCTATCACAATCTACCCTATCCTGTCCTCTTTTTTTTAAAGACCCTTCTGCAGTCCTTACGCTCATGCCTTGATTTTTATTGTCTCCAGTGCTAAGCTGCTGCACAGCTAGCCTCTTGGGGCTTTTCTTCATCACTCAACTGAACCAGATTGCAAAGAAAAAGTAAATCTGCCTTTATTTTCAGGTAACATAATCTGGAATGTAGAAAACCCTAAGATAGCCCCCCAAAATCTACTAGAACTAAAAACAAGCTCACCAAGGTCACAACAATACAAGATCAATATAAAAAAAAAAGTTGTTTTTCTCTGTACCAACAATGAACAATCCAAAAACGAAATTAAAATAATTCTGTTCACAATAGCAGTAAAATATATAGATATTAATTTAACTTAAAAAGTGCAAGATGTACACTAAAAACAATATATTACACTACTGAGGGAAATTAAAGAAGATCTAAATAAATGAAAAGACAGTCCATGTTTATTGATTGGGAGACTCAATAGTATTACAATGGCAGTTCTCCCCAAATTGACTTATGGATTCAATGCAGGCTTTTTTGCAAAAAATTGAAAACTGACCCTAAAGTTTATATGGAAGTTAACAGAACCTAGAATAGCCAAAATAATTTTTTAAATGAGCAAACAAGGAAGACTTCGTATTTTCAAAATTTAACATAAAGGGCCGGCCCGGTGGCGCACTGGATAGTGCGCCGCTTGGGGAGCGCGGCGGCGCTCCCGCCCGAGGGTTCGGATCCCACATGCAGACCGGTTCCCGCTCACTGGCTGAGCGAGGCGCGGGGGCAACACCGAGGGTTGCGATCCTGTTGCTGGTCCCGGTCTGGTACGGGGGTGACACTGAGGGTTGCGATCCGTTGCCGGACGCGGAAAAAGACAAAAAAAAAAAAATTTAACATAAAGCTACAGAAATCAAAACCATGTGGTACTAGCATACAGTAGACATTAGGTCAGTGAAATTAAATTGGAAGTCCAGAAATAAACCCTTATGTTTATGCTCATTGACAAAAAATGTCAATGCAATTCAGTGGGGAAAAATATAATCTTCAAGAAATACTGCTGGGCTAATTGGATATGTGCATTCAAAAAGATAAATTTTGAGGGCTGGTGGGTTAGCTCAGTTGGTTAGCGTATGGTGCTGATTACACCAACATCCAGGGTTCAATTCCTGTACTGGCCAGCTGCCAAAAAAAAATAATAATTTTGACCTTACCTTACCTCATATCAGGCACAAAAATGGAGCATAGATTAAAGAAATAAATATGAAACATTTAAAATAAAACATAGAATATCTTCATGACCTTGAATTAGGCAAGATTTCTGAGATATGATGCCTGTTGCTTTGTGTTGCTTCAGTCCCCCACGGATTTGTCAGCCCTCTTCCCCTGGGTGACAGAGACACAAAGGATTACTCAAAGCCCATCTCTTCTGAGCAGTGAGAAGCCCCGAAGTGTTTAACTTCCCTGGGAACGCTCCGGCGAGAGGCAACCCTTCCTCGGGAAATTAACCGCAAATTGGGGTTCTCTTCCTGCATTTATTTTCCAGACCAGGAAGTTACAGGAAGAGAACATAGGTGGGGTTATAGTTTAACAATATAGGCTGGTAACTTTCAGTGAAACAAGTCAGGTGACATTTCCTTAGATAATTAAGTGATCTTACAGCAATTTCTCAATATCTTTACGTAACTAGTCTGTCCTTCAGCCAGCAACCTTGCTGTGCCACAAATCTTTATCTTACACCAGAGACTTTATAGCCTGAGGAAAATTTCCAGTGCTCCACAAGGTCAATATTTGAAACTGCACGGCTTTGGAAAACCAGGCCCTGTGAAGTACATATGCCTTATAGTATATTCCACAGATGCCAAAGATATCCATAAAAAAACAATTTGATAAATTAGACTTCATCAAAGTTAAAATCCTTTGTTCTTCAAAAGATACCATTAAAAAGACAAGCCACAGACTCAGTGAAAATATTTGCAAATTGTATGTCTGATAAAGGACTTAAATCCAGAATATATAAAGAACTCCTGAACTGGCCAGTTAGGTCACTTGAGAGAGCACTATGCTGATAACACCAAGATCAAGAGTTTGCATCCCACTACCAGCCAGCTGCCAAAAAAAAAAAAAAGATACCACTTCGTACCCACTAGATGGCTATAAATCAAAAAGAAAATAGTAAGTTTTAGGGAGGATATGCAGGATAAGAACCCTCACACACAGCTGGTGGGAATATAAAATGGCACAGCCACTCTGGAAAACAGTTTGGGATTTCCTCAGAATGTTAAACATTGAGTTATCACATGACCCAGCAATTCCACCCCTCAGTATCTACCCTAGGGAAACAAAAGATAAGTCCACATGAAGCTTATGTTCAAGCAGCATGAGACTGTTTATAGCAACATTGTGATAGCTAAAAAGTGGAAATAATCTAAATATCCATCAACTTGTGAATGGATAAGCAAAACGGAACAAAATGCTAGTACATGCTACACCATGGGGAACCTCAAAAATAATATAGGAAAACTAAAAAACATTTTGCTGGGACTCTAGACGCAAAAGACCACATATTGTATGATGATATAATATGTCCAGAAAAGGCAAATCTATAAAGGTAGAAAAGTAGATTACTAGTTGCCTGGTACAGGGGAGTAGGAACAGGAATTAATTGTAATCACACAAGAGGGATCTTTTAGGGATGATGGAAATGTTTTAAAATTGGATAACAGTAATGATTGCACAACTCTGTACATCTACAAAATCACTGTACACTTTAAATGGATGTAAATGATACCTCAATATCATTTATTATATAATGATAACACCTCAATAAGGGTGTTTTTAAAAAAACTGCATTGCAGTCAGACTTTTTCTTCCTCTTTCTCAGCCTCCTCTGGTTCCCTCTCCATGTTCCCTCACAGGCATTTCCCAGATAATCTATGGCAAGTGTAATCCCATCTTGGTGTCTGCTTCTAGGAGGACCTAATACACC